AAAAAGAATAATAGGGAAGAACTAAACAAGAAAAAAAAGGAAGAATCTCGAAACGTGGCTACTACTCCTTTTATCCCTATCGATTCGCTTTCTTTTCAATTTTCTTCTTTTATAAAGATATCGTAATCGTAATTCGATAATATGTGTATATATATATATATATATAGCTTTTGGACGATTCGAGCAAACTTGAATCGAGCGACTCGATCTTTTTCGATCGTTTCTCTCTAAAAAATACGCCTCCAATTGCCGTTTTTAGCAATCTTTTCGTTAATAATCAATTAATCATTAATAACTAATAATAGCAATAATAGTAGCGATAATAGTAATAATAATGATAATAATAATAATAATAATAATAGTAATAGCAGTAATAATGGCGATAATAATAATAGTAATGGGATTAATCGCGGATTATCAAAATGCTCGGACCGTTGGACGGATCGTCGCGTCGCGTTTTTTGCCTCTCTTCTTCCTTTTTCTTTTTTCTCCCTCCCACACGAGTAATTTTCACACGAGAGAAACTTTGTCCTCTTTCGAGAGAAGAAAGAGACGAAGATCGAAAATTCTTTCTTTCTTTTTTTTTCTTCTCTCTTTTTCAATTCTCAAACGCGACGACGATGATCCGTCCGAGTGCCCTCGCTGAAAAGCGTGGCGAATGGGCAGGCATTTTTTTTTTACACAAAATAGAAAAATAAAAAAAAAAAACACGAAAGAACAATAACAATTTATCATCGAAGCTTTCGAAAGATTCATTCTCACCGTACATCCATTTTTTAGGATTTTTTTTTTTCTGAAAGAGTGTCGTTTTTTTTTTTTCTTTTTCGCTTATACAAGGATCGATCGGACTTTGGCCGACATGTTTTGACACAACGAAAAGAGGCTACTCGCTTTTGTCAACAACGCGGATATTTTTTTTCCCTGTAATACCCGGCCCCGCTGGCCCCGTTCCTCCGTTCAGAATTCGATTTCGACTTTTTTATTTTCCCGATAATTTTCCTTTTTCCTTTTTATATCCGCCAATTTCGATCGACAGGCTTTGTTTCCGTATATATGAATAAATCACTCTTCAAAACTTTTTTGTCCCTCCTCGAATTCTTTTCACGAGCCTCGTAACGATCGATTTCCATTCGATTCTCACGACATTTCTTTTTTTTTTCTTTTTCCTTCTCTTTTTTTTTCCCCTCCCCCTCGCGCTCGAATACACTCGCGATATTAAATAAGTACCGATTTTGCCGAACGAGTCAACTCGTCCATCCGGCTTTGTACCCTTTTTTGACTAGAATTGAATTTCGAATTGACGATCAGGAAACGAAACCAGGCTCCATCTCTCTCTCCCTCCTCCTCCTTTCTTTTTTTCCCTCTTTTCCTTCCTTCCTTCCTTCCTTCCTCCCGTTGAAAAATCCCTTGGTCTGAATTGGAACGGGCCTGCGGAACCGGAAGTGCGTCGATATATAATTTGCCCAAAAGGGGACTTCGACCAAACTCAATCGATACCATTAAACCTTGAGCACGCACATTTTCGTCGCATCGTGCTAGACAGTCGTTTTACCACCAATTGCTTCGCGGTTTCTCGATAAAATGTTCTTTTGATCAGAGACGATAGAAAATCGCGACGAAAACGGGCGCTGGAAAAATCAACGATAATCTTGCGCTTGCGTTGTACTCGATAAATGAACGTGAAAAAAAAAATTTGTTTGAAAAATTTCTCTTGAAAACTTAACTCGTCTGTTTTTTTTTTTCTTTTTTTTTCCATCGATAATCGACGTCAGCCGCGCCCTGCGTTTTCCTCTCGAGAAACGTTTTTCGTTTTTTTTCCCTCGAACGTTCACCCTTCTCGACTTTCTTTTTTTTTTTTTGTTTTTCGTCCAAAAACGCGAATTTTCTTTCGCAAAATTTCCATTCAACTTTGGTGGAACGTTCGTTTTCGAAATCGTGGTGAATATCCGGTGGTAATTTTCATTTTCATCGGTATATCGAAATGCGATTGTCAAATTTTCATCCGAGACGAGAAAAAAAAAAAAAAAAAAATAGAAGAAATCACGGTATCACGGACCGACGTCGAAGTGTATATATAACCCATATATAAACCGATAATTAATGTCGAACAAATTTGAAACAATGCGTGTACACGTGAAACTGGGAGGTTTTTTTGGCTCTGAGAGGATTACCCGTGGGATGAGGAATTGTTGTGAAATGGGTTTGATCTGTAGGATGGGTGGCGGGGTGTTTTGTATTGTGTTGAAAGCAACGTCATAAGTGAAGTTAACTGAACGCTGCACTTGAAAGACTAATGAAAAACTTGGGGGAAACTTGAACACGCGTCGCTTCGCGCCCCTCTCGTTGATCAATCTCGCATATATATACACGCATATATACATATACATACATATGTATACAGTGTATTCCCAATTTTTCTTCTTTTCCATTCCTTTTCTCTTCCTTTTCCTCCCCTCCTATATTCTATTCGTCCCGAACATTCACGGACATTCAATTTTTCTTTGCGTTTTCATTCCAAGCCGTGGATTATTTCTCAAGATGACGATATTCAATAACGCGTGGCGACGCCCGTTCAAGCACCCTCCGATACGCGTCCGAGTCCCACAGTCCTTCGCCTCGTCTCCGTAGTGAGTGCCTCCGCGATTTATCGAATAAACGCGACGGCTGTGTGCACGATCGCTGCCTGTCCTTATAGAATATATAGACTCGAGTACGTTTAATTAATAATTATGCGTGTATGCGTTACGGTTAACTGTTAATTAACTTGACTTGACAAATGGTTACGGTACTGTAATTAATTAATTATTATCTGTTAGTTTAAATATGTGTGACTCCACCGTTTACAATCCGTCATCCGTCTTTCCTCTCTTCTCCCTTTCGCGATCTCGCTCGCGCTCACTCTCTTTCTCTCTCTCTCTCTCTCTCTCGGCTTCCTTTCTCCTCTTCCTCTTCCTCTCTCCCTCTCTCTTTTCTCTCACCTCTCTATTCGGAGTATACAACGTACACGTTGCCTAAACTACGAACACTTAGTACACTTAGTAGCATATTTATTTCCGTTAAATATTGATTGGTTTAATGGGATCGATGGGGGGGGGTGGGGGATTTAGGCGGGGAACGGCGGTCGAAAAGAATTTTTTCCTTTGGATTGGCGATTTCTTTGAGGAGATTGTATTTTTTTTTTTTTTTCTATTTTCTTTCATTTTTTTTTTTTCTCTTCTCCTTTCCCTTCCGCGATTCGTTATTTATTCCGCGTTTCGACCGCACGAACGAATCGACGATTTCGAAAATTTCGAACGGATGGGGGAGGGGGAAGGGACAATTGGATGGGGGGAGGATGTTGAATCGGGACGAAGGTGATTGCGTACGAAATGAATCCGGTATTTCCGGTCGTTCCACTTACGCGATTGGCGATGGTGTGCACGACAAGACTTGTAGACACTGAAAAGACCAAGTGCTTCCTGTAATACTTACTTAGTTAACTGTTTATTGCGGTACACTGTAATAACTGTTTCTACTACCATAGTACTACTAGTTGTGAGTTATACTTGAGAAAACGACTGTTTAACTGTAACAGAAAACCCTGACGAAGGCACCCACTAAACGGACATTTTAATTCTA